TCACCACTTAAAAATCCAGTATCATCATAAATTGAAATTTGTGACTGTATTTTGAACCTTTCCTTCGGCTGATTGAAATAATTACCAACTCGACTTATAATAATATTCAATTTATCAATCCCCTGTTTAAATTTATAGTATACATACCTTTACAAATTTTGTCTTTGGTGAGAATTTTCTTATGAAATAGATGAAGCTAACTAATACTGATCAATCTGAAGAAAAACCAAACAACTGTTCAAAAAAAAAAAAAAAAAAAAAAAAAAAAAAAAAATGAAAACAAACCAAAAGACCCAAACATACAAATGCCCCTACCCCACTCCACCCCACCAAAAAAAATATGTTATGTTCGGGTGCCTAATAATTAATATACTTTCTCAGAAATGTTTTACTTTTAATGTGATGAATTTTGGTATTCTTGAGCAAGAAAACTCGTGCACAAATTATACTTTTATAAAATCTCATACTATACTATGAGATAGAATGGATAGTTTGAAAGTAGAGCGTTTTGCTAGACTAAGACAAAGTTTTTCAAATGAAATATCGTTGGAAAAAAATTGCTAAAAGACCTAAGTCTGAATTCTCTCATTACTATGATTTAGTATTTTGGACGGATAGATTAACATGCCAAATTGCTATAATTGCACATATATCTATATGACAGACCAAAGGTATGCAAAATATTTCTTAACCTCCTTCAGAAGAATACCAAAATAAGCAATGACAATAGATTTCGGTGAAAAAATTCTAAACGTATTTAAGAACAAGCGTATGCATTTCCATTTATTTTAATAAAAATTCACTTGTAGGTTTATATCGTAGCTTGCATTTCGTATTTCAGGTGTCTCAAATGCAACAAATAAGCCACTTTAAGTTCAAATGCCCTTCAGATTATAAAAAATGTAGTCGATGTCATAAAGAAATGTACCAGTTCACTGCATTTCTATATGATCCACTAAGTAGTCAATTCTTACAGGAAATATATTCAACTGTCACAATTTTAACTTCATCAGTAGCTTACATGTCTATAAAAGATGCACATAATTAATGAATTCTTTATAAATACAAAATATACTTAAAAATCAAATTAAAATATTCTAATTTATGACATCTTCCCCGTTGCAGTAACATTTACGAGTGGGTTTTTTGTTTTCACATGATGGCCTTCTTTTTTCATAAATGCATTTATTAACCCTAACCGCCTCTTTCCCATTCTTGTGACTTGAAACGAAGAGAAAGCGAGCGACAATAAAATGTTCCCAAGTCCGGCCACCACAAAAAAGAGGAATTCAATAAACCAGCAACCAGATCACGACAGGATATCATTCTTCCTCGCTCAGCTGGCTCCATCATGGTACAATGATGTTAATTTCAAAGTGCTTGACCCTCCGCTGACCACAATCTACCTGTTTAATTACAAATGGTCATACCTGGTGAAGCTATGACACTTCTAGACATTGTTCTTATTTGTTAATGTATTTTATTTGCAGCATTAATATACAACGGTCTTTTCTTCTTGCTTGGCGATTAATCTTTAGATGTTATTTATGTTAAAACTTATGATGATGTTTGCAGTTGTTTGACCCCTGTTAAAAGCAATGTCGCTTTTCTCATTACTTGTTTTTGTATGGAATTAGCATCCACACCCTGTAAAAAATTAATTTGTTGTTATGCAATGAATTTAGAACAGAAATGCATTTCATCTAAGTCATTTCATATAAAATAAATATATATAATATTTATTTACCAAGGTAGGAAAAATATAACTTAAACATGTAGAAAACTCTTAGACAATGTGGTTCTTATCTTTACCATATGTTATAACATTTTCACTCCTGAACATCTAGTTGCGATCGTGAGATCGGTTCTTTCAAACTTCACAACTTTTATATCTGTTAACTGCATTTTTCAAGCGAATTAAAAGTCATACTTGTTTAACTGCAAAATTATTTAATTCAAAAATATTTTGATTTTACACAAAAATACTTATTCCCTAAAGTTAATATTAAAACAATGCGTTGGTTTCTGATTGACAAAATCTTTCTTAAGTTTTTTTTTGTCTTCCTACAATCTGTTGGGATTCCCAGGGTTACTTATTACGCCCAATTATATGCAGTCATATTTTGCATTCACGAAGCTTTTCTAAAAAAAATTCTACATGAAAAACTGTTTTGCTTAACCCTCTATTCGATATCAAAATTAATCGATGACGCCTTTTCAATTAACAATGTTCATTTACATTCCTTTGCAGACTGGAAATATTTCTTTGAACTCGAAATAAAAGACATCATAGAGTCTAAAAGATCTGTTTTATATTTGGATATTTTATACTAGAACAAGACGTTAATGGCAAACTAATGCAAAAAAAAAAAAAAAAAAAAAAAAAAAAAAAAAAAAGAAAAAAAAAAAAATTAAAAACGCAATAACTTTCTTTATCAATTATATATATTTTTGTAGAAATATCGTCTTATTGCTTTGTTCTTTTGACAATTGGTTTGATGATACATGAATATCAACGGTCTCGTTTTAAGTCAAAATATTTTTTTAATTCTGTTGTCGATATTTCTAATGACTTTGTTCAGTCAAGTGACATACATTAGACTCTCGTATATTCAAATCACTTTTCCATACAAATTGTAAGGCCATTGTTTTCAAGCTGATTCGTCCAAGAAGTCTCTATTTGCCCTATTCTGACAAAGAGCATACGGGAGTTGCGGCAATCCCCTTTGCCCGATCATGACAAAGAGCACACGGCAGGTGTGACAGGTCGACAGGAGATGCTTGCTCCTTCATGGTACCCAATCCTAACTCTGATGTTTGCTCTGCTTCCAATTATAGTATTGTTCAATAGCCCTTAGAGCTTGATCAATGTTCGTTATCCTCATATTCTACATTGTTATTCAGGGTACATGTAATGCAGCTGACAAGATAAAGCCATGGTTAGTGATTTAAAACATACAAGTAGTTGTATCATGAACTTAATATTTTCTTTCATATGATTTTATTACTAACCAATTTACCATGCGATTTCTATCCCTTTGTCAAATTCATACTCTGACATGCATAAACAAACATTGAAACAAGTTATAAATGGAGAAAAATCAATAAAAAACGATAAAAGATAACATTTTTAATTTTTTAAGGCATGTTTCATACTTATCTAACTATTCTTGCAAGAGTGTATGAACATTATTTTTCTGTTCAAGACAGGGGCAACATTTTCTCTTGTCTTTAACTCTAGAATAATTTTCACACATGGTCTTGTTTTCATTATGTTGAACTTACGAGAACATTTTATATAATGCATCTATACACGCGCTGCAAAGTAATTAACAGAGGATAAAAATGACAAACCTCGTGAATGATATTTTTACAAAACTGTCACATTTTCATTTCACTTTTGACAAAAGGATAATTAAAGTACTTCTAATTCTAGAAGACATTTGTAGGACAAATGAATGCACTTTGATATTTAATTATTATGAATTCACTTAATTGTCATAGCAGATAGAAATATTTTCGTATTTATTTAAATTTTATTCATTTGTTTCAGCATGTACGCTTATTTCTTTTTCAATACATCTGGAAATTTCACACAGAAAGTGATACATTCTACAGCGGAAACAAATTTGACAATACCTGTTTTTAGAAAGTCTAATTTGACAATAAGCAACCCATTTTATCTAATAAAACATTTTTATACGGAAAAAAGTTACTTAAGTTTTAAAAATAAATATCTTTCCATTAAAGAAATATTTGTTTTTTTTTAAATGGGGTTATGATTACTTGAGGGTAACTTCTTTAAAATTAGAAAAATGATTACTTGAGGGTAGCTTTAAATAAAAAAAAATATTTTAAGACAAACTTTGTAGTGTATTCATGGACTTCAAATACCATTTATGTCTACACAAACGAAATGAAAATGAAGCCAATAAATAATTAGATAGAAAGTAAATTAATTATAATAGAATTTGGGAGCATCATTATTTTATTTATTTAACAAATACAACACAAGTGCCCCGAGCTTAGTTGAAATCTTATCAAAATCAAACATATATTTGGATCTAAAGTTCAGAAAAAGGACAAGATTCCAAAAAGAACCAACTACCCCCCCCCCCCCCCCAAAAAAAAACCCTCCCATCCTAGTGCATCTTCCTTTGTTCTGAGTAAAAATTAGTTTAACTTACAATATGGCTAACGCTGCTTATTTATTTTCAGCTAAAATAACACGAATCTTTAAAAATCCATCGTATACCTCTGAATCACTCATCGAAATTGAGTTTGCTTTAAAATAACGTAGGATGCAAAGAATTTAAACCTCTGTTGTTAACATGCTATCAAATTATGTACTTTCAATCATCTATTGCGATGTTAAATATCAAATACAAGTTATAAATAAATTTCATTATCAAAAAAGTACATAAAAATAAATTTCATTGAATGAAGCAGATCATCAACTTAAGCACTGAATCAACTTGGATCAAATCGTACCAGTCGCCGACCGGAAGCCAAGAAGAAAGTACGTAAAGTTGAACGACAAAAGTGACACGTGAACATGTGTCAAACAAGGGGAGGTGACTGGGAAACAAATGTGAAAAATGAGCACCACTTTGTAGTGGGGATCCCAGAGTGTCTTCTTTTATTTAGACAACTTGTCAAAGAACAAATGCATCAGGTGCTTCAGATTTGTCCCGGCCGTGTATGTTGTCAAATTACTAATTCCCCACTTACTTTCCTTGCCAGGAAATCAAAGTAAAGATAAAAAATGTAGATCGGCTGTTCACCTTTCATTTGTGCAAATCAAAATAAAAGATGTCAATACATTTTTCTTCTAAATAAACCGGGTTTAAAAAAGATAATCACAAATCTTGCGTATTTACAGAAGACAATGGCATTGCAATTCAGGGTATTTACCTTAAAGATACTACAATCAAAGTAAAGCATGACACACAAAATTAATGAATAATATTCAGTATTTATGGTAACCTTCCTAAATACATATAAATATGGTATGGCAAAATACAATAAGTTAGAATCGAACAAAAACAACAACATTATGTACATGACAAAATGATTCTAGTATTTACAATTCACATGCAACTTCCAGTTCCCAAATCGCCCATTGTGCTATGTTCCATTGATGTTCTTGGACCCTCGTCCTTCTCCAAGAACACATCGTATGGAGATTTAATCTGTCCAGATTGAGTTCCTGAAGCCGAAATTAAAGGTAGAGGTTTCTCGTCCAAAGTCTTTGTTTGTAGTGATGTATTTAAAGCTGATTTTTCTTCTGACTTTTGAATTTCTTCCTTATTTCTATTTGGAACATTTAACACATTGAAGGTCTGACTTGGTTTTTCATGTTTTTCGGTACTTAAGTTTCTCCGACGTCTCCAAAACAAGAATATTAAAACAACCAGTACGAAAATAAGTTCTAGTCCTAAAACAATGGCGATTCCAATGCCAATTCCAACACCGAGATTTGAGGAACAATCACAGGGCAGCTTTTCGACTACATCAATCAAAATAGAAAAAAAAGTTTTAAATTCTCTTTTTATAGCTCTAGGTTAAAATTAAGTGTGCCTCCTCAAAATGAATAAGCTATGAAAAGCTAACCTTGGCATTAATCGGCATAAAAATTTTGAACTGTGTGAAAAAATAATTAAAACTAACATAAATACAGGTCTGTACGTTACAATTACCTCGTGATATTCAACGTGTACAAAAACTGACATAAGAATTGATACATTACCCATTTTGAACTGTAACTTTACCAAGGAAGACTAAAACGCGGAAGTTAAATTCTAAAGTTTTACATCGTTGGATACATGGTATCATGTTTTGATACACAGCACACACCCTTTTAGCCCAAATACAAATAAAAACCGCCATGTATGTGTCCTTTGTAATATTTTTCTACATCAGTGACTTTACAAAAATAAATATCATCTCTGCTTCGTAGTTCATATTATATATACATGTAAGTGTAGATCGAAAAGGTTTTCCAAAATGAAAGTAGATATTTAGAGAAATGAAAACTTCAACTTTTGTAATGGTAGTTTTCAAACCCTCATTTGAAAAAGAAAAAAAAATGTAAATATACACAGCTGTATATTATTAAATTTTTTTTAAAAAGGAATTTTCAGTTTCGAACATTCCCATACCGTAAAGTAGGAGATACTTTAATATAAGAAAACCGAAGAGTGAAAAACACTTTCTCTCCAATCTTGAGAGATATATGGCACGTGCTTTCGACATTTTACGCTGGATATGACCATCTAAAGCAAGATCAAAGAGACTAAGAGTATTGTTCTCATCAACGAGACCCAATTACCAACACAAATAAAGGACTTAAAGCCTGCTGGGATCAATCTCAGTGAGAATGCTAACCGTTTAGGGCCGTCCTCTCCTCTGACATTAAAAGCTATTTTTTGAATACAAGGAATACTTTCAGATCATTAATTCGCTAGTTATGCTTTCATTCAAGATTCTTGTTTCAAAGAAAAGAATTTAGAAAAATATTTACAGGTGTGCATCATAGAATTATTTACGAGGTATGGGTGTATAGGTGAAATTGAAAATCATCACATAACAATCTTGATATCAATTTCATTGCACTCCTCAAAGATTTTCCTTTTCTTTGAAAAAAAAGATAGTTATTAAAATTAAGATAAATAAATGTTTAAGATAATTTTTTAAAAGATTGTTTCCATTACTTAAAGTTTTATATTCTATATACTAAGTTTGGTATTTTGTCATAATAATGTTAACTGTACTTAAAATGTTAATTTATAGGCAAAAAGTATTTGTAGGCTGACTTTGCTTGAAACAAATAAACATTTTGCCCAAGAGATCTTACTCAAACGTTTTATCAATCAATACTGCCTACAAAAAGTTGAACTTTTTAAAAATACTGCTGTACAGATTAGTCAATAAATGAATGAAAAACAGTATTTTGGAGTAAAAATTGAACATATCCAGTTACTATCCTAAGCGACACATAGTTAATGGTGAACTTGTTGTGAATGTTGCTTGTTCGACATTCAACAACTTAGACCATTGTGTCAAATTCAATAAATTTTTGAGGCACATTCTTACATCTATATATTGAAATGTACAAATTAAAATTGTATGAGCTCCAATGTTATTAAAATAAGATATTTTAGAGAAAGTGCGGATTTTACTTACATTTCAAATGCCATGTATACTTCTTTTTCTTTAAGGAGGAATGTTTAAATATTCTTTATTCACTTTGTCACATCCATATTACAATTCATTTAAACCGAAATTCTTTCCTTGTCTTTTTAGTGCACAGATAAGGAAGAAAATTACCTCAATTGTTTTTTTTAGGGGAAATTTATATTTTCTAATAAAAACTATATTATATATAATGAAGTATTGTCTTTTTGTGTGCATTTTCATAGAAGATCGTAATCACTTAAAACGGAAATCAATTCTATTTATAATAAACTTGAAATAAATCATTTTACTAAAATCTGATAAAAGTTTAAAAATTACTAAAAATATTTATGTTTTCATAACACCCGTTTGAATATTTGACATCTCCATTAGGTGGTGCTGTAATAAAATCTAAAATAAACTGTGTGTAATGAGACTCCTGAAACCAAGACTTGCGAGTGTATTAAATTAAATGTATTCGAAAATGTAATGTTCAAAAACAAATATTTTGACCACAATTTGAGGAAAAATTTTGGTATCATAGTACTGAGTATATATGAAAACAAAAAATATATTAATATAATATACTGTAAGTAGGTGATTATACATATGAATTATGAAATATGAATTAAAATCCCTTCGTCAATGAACCTGATATCAGCAAAGGTAAAGAATGGAGTATGAAAGAATTATGAAAACAATCAGATGATCCAATGTACAATATTCGCGCTCAAGATCATGTGGTAAGTCTAGACCCAATGACATTTTTGTTAAATATATACAGTATACACGAATGTTGATTTATTTCAAATTTGTAGATGGTTATGAACAAATTAAAAATTAGGAACAAGTATGAATTGATACATGGCTGTCTTAAAAAGAAGAAAGAAAAAAAAAACACCGCACACTTAAATCTATCCAAAAATAAAAATATACCCAATAAAAGAATTAATAAAATTTCTTTTAAAAATGTAAACACTCAAAAAAGTACACACCTGTTATCTTCAGGAAATAAATTTAACAGATTACTGTGGTTTTCAATGTAAGTTAATAAGATTCGGTCATGCAGGAGCATCTTTTTATGCAATGTTTTCAAGTACTTGTCAGAAATACTTAAAGAAGACGTATTACAAACTTATTAATAATTTGATGAGGACTGTATGAAGGGCAGATTAATGAAACTGATCACCAAAAGTGCATCACTGTCATCGTAAACTTCTGCCTGCGTATCAATGTTAAGTAACAATAATATCTTAAACATAAGATTTTTTATGTTTCCTTTTCTCAAAAAAGCATTTCCAATAGGAGAGTGATTGCTTTTTAGACCTATTTCACAGATTGCTAGCTTATTCCACAAACGGTTTCTGAATGTGACTGTTTATCCTTAAAAGAAGGCAATGTGTTTTCAGTTCCCTTATCGAATCTAACCACTGCTTCGCATCTTTTACTGATTTATAACGAGAAAAGGATATATTGATTTAATTTTATTTCGAGTTTCAACAACAAATTTTTGCTTTTTTGTTTCATGAGATGTTAATTTACATATATAATAGCAAACAAATATAGAAAAGCATCGATTTGTTGAACCATGTCTTAAAAATTTTAGCTCTGTGCAAAATTAATACAATTAGAAAAAAAGAGAGAAAACAGTTATTATTTTTCGAAATGAAAAGGTTTTAGAACTATGGTTAATACCGAAATTAACAAATTACACATTTAAACATTATACGCAGATTCATCATTCAAAGAACGGTATGTTCGTAAAAGCTACATTAATCAATCATTCTTTGATTTTTGTGTTCGTTTGAAATTTACAATAATTGTCATCCAAATATAACATTTAATGTTGAAAAGGAAATAAATGCAAAAAAAAATCACAATGAATAAATATCAGCTTCAGCTGTGATTACAGTTAATATGTAAATACAAAAGATTGCGTACGAGTCTGAATCTCTTTATATACTTTTTACAGAAACATTTAAATTATTTTAGAAGAATTTTCTCTAAACCGTTATTTTATTGGTTATATACAATTTAAAAGGACACGTATTTGCAGATTATCTCATTTATTATCCTCTTAAGCAATGAAAACTAATAAAAAATGGCATGTTAAATGTAAACTTCTCATCATTAGGATGATAATGATTATTTCATGAAAAAATGGATAAATTAATGACCAGGATTCTAAAATCTCAAGTGGGTTGACATATCTGCGTATTCTCTTTGCAAATTCCAACTGTTTCCCCTTATCTTAATTTCTTTTTTAATACTAAAACGATGTTATCGGTAAGTCATGAATTCTACATTTATTGATCATAAAACATATCTATCTGAGGAAAAAAAACATTTAAATTAAAAAAAATATATATATATATATAATATATACCTTATTTTTAAAGCTATCGATGCTTATGCAGTTTCAATTTTAAAAAATTAAACGTTACGTTTAAATGCATATAGTTCTATAAAATGTATGCAAACGACAAATGTTTAAAATGGTGTATTACGGAGGTTGGGGGCTCAACAAATTAACCAACAAATTTAACTCACTTTTTAGTTATATCTGAAGCTGACTACTATCATTTGGCAAAGAAAAAAAAAATCAATACATTTTAGTTTTAAAAGTTGATCATTTTTTGTTTATCTTCATACGGAGCTCATCTTCTAAAGGAGGTCAAAATAGACTGAAAATGGCCACAACCCCACAGCCCCTTTAATCAGTTTGATCATTTCAGGTATTTTGACCTACTACATGTAACTAAAATCACTTGCTATGCTTCTCATATTTATTCCTAATTAACTACTGGGTCAATTAAAAAGAAGTTAGGTATTGCCTAAAGTTTTAAGTATTAAGTTATCTCTTTTTTATATTCAATTTTGTTCTGTATAAACACAGAAGAGAGTAAACTGTATGTCATGTTCATGCTTTATAATTTTCCTGATCGTATTAACTTTGCGAAGTACAGTTTTGTCCTACAGAAAATTTAAAATGCATATCCCCCCTCCCCACAATGGACCTCTCAGTCGGTATATGGAGGGATCGCTCCTGATTGGAAGGTCATGAGTTTGAAGCTCGCCAGCAACTGACCTAACACGATAAAAATGTAGCAACTGTTCCTTTGTTCGCCACTTGGAAGTGAAAGTTGCGGGTCCCTCGGATGAGACCTTAAAAACCGAGGCCCTGTGTCCCGGCAGGCATTGGTGCGATAAAGATCCATCATTGCTCAATGGCCTTAAGGTTCGAGTAAAGGTAAAAATTTAAGCCCTTCGCCGGTATGTGTTGATGTTCTTGTACGAGTTAAAATTTCGAAAAGGGGACGTAAAACAATATACATGTACAATCAATAATCAATCAATCAATCAAAATCGGTTTCATTTTTGCATACGTTGCAGTTGGTTTTCAGGTATCGTTACTGCTTTATTGAATGAAAATGAATCTTCGACAATGAAATGTACAAATTTTGATACTTATCACTTTAAAGGATATCCTGCTTTTTGGTAAATTTTAATGAGTTTTGTAGGAGGATTATTTTTCTTCACAATCTCTTACGTTTTCATTCGTTTCAATAACAATTTCTTTAACCTTGATGAATAGAAACTTTTGAATTTGAAACCAAACGTTCTTTCGCGAGGCAACAGGTTAAAGCAAATTATAATGCCATAAAAACA